AAAATTTCCATAGAATGGGAAGAAAGATAGGACAAAGCGAAACGCAGATAAATTAAAGAAATGACGAAGGAAGAAGAAAGGAAACATAAAGACCGATTCTCTCCGCCTGTAATAAGTGTTTAAGAGTTTATTAACGAACCAGATTTACCATAGAAAATATTATATATATATATCAATCTATACATATAGATTATTCTATATATCTACACTGTAATAACATCGTATATATATATATAAATATATATATATATATTTTGTCAGTTTTTCCTTGTTTTTTTTTAAGCTATATAAGAGGAAATATCGCAGATGAAAAAGAAAGAAAGAGAGATAAATAGATAATGCGAGAAAGAGGAAACGAGAGAGAGAGAGAGAGAGAGAGAGAGAGATTAAAAGATATGAGAGTCGCAACATAATAGTAGCGTGGAAAAATCTTTTACAAGAGTAATAATAAACAGGAGATAGAAACCGTATAATTAATAATAGTAATAACAATGGAAACCGAATGGCATTTAAAGGTACCTATTAATTAAATAACAATTATTATTAATTAATAGTAAGATTTTTAACGTTAAAACTCAGAGTGTCCATGCAACAAGAGTCTTTCTCCAATCTTTTTCTCTGATACATATTTTTTTTTCTATTTTTTTTTTTCTAAAACCACCGAAAGCTGTTGAATGGATCACACGAAACTCAGTGCTCTTCTTTTTACACGTGACACGCGTGCCGCATCGACGAACCGTGACATGAACGATACAAATCATAAGTGCAATAGTTTTTACAATAGAAACCATGGGATCTTTTTGTTGATGAAACGGAGTGCGCCGTCGCGACGACGATTCTCGATATGTCACGAGCGTCCAGTTGACGACCACCCGAAGTCTCGCGTTCCTTCCTCTGTGCGGATCGCGGTTTCTCGCCGCCCATTATTTATCGCGATTCTCTCTGACTTCTCCGAATCGCCGGGAGGGAACCGCGAGACCCTCGGGCCTCATCAGCGTCCACAAGCTGGGAGACGCGACGCCTTATCGACGCTCGACGCCCATGACGAGATCGAAACAGTCGGGACGTGCTCCGAACACGATACTACCTCGCAAATTTCAGAGTTACAAAGCACATATTACCGTACCTCAATAATTACACGCATTATTACGACATAGAAACGCGGAGAATTTTAATCAGCGACAGAAACTTATAGAGATATGAAAACAATAGTGAAATCTTGATAGATAGCGAAGTAATAACGAAACGGCGAGAGGTTTAAGAATGAACAGCGATCGCTTCATGGAACAGAGGTTCTATGAGCGACGAGCCATCACCGATGTTTCAATAGCCGAAATATATATATATATTTTTCATTTCTTCTCGTAAATCCTATAACACCATTGTGATGTACACATAGTGAAGTACAGGGATTTCTTTCTTCCGAAATCATGCGTGAAACGATAATCTGCGTTGTCTCGTTGAACTTTGATACGCGCACGGAACATTTGCTCGGTGCAGATCGACGCGGATCAGGAAGGAGCCGCTGGTGTAACATAAGAGTCATCCATCATTAATTTTAATACCCGTTCTCTCGAAAGAAACAGTAACACATACTTATAAATATATACGCGGTTTCATCCTCGTCGATCGAGCCGATCGCGACGGATCGTACAGATCCTAGGTTTTTGTTTGATCCGTTTCGTTTCCTTCACTCGTTCCAAACGAGACGTGGGCGAGTTCAAAAGCAACAGTGAAAACACGATAGGAAATAATTATACACTCGATGATCGACTGAGAAACAACTGAAAAGTAAAAAGTATGATCGCGTGAGAAAGGAACATCGCAGTAAAAATTCGAAACAAAAAGAAACGAAGCCCCCCCGACCCTATCCACAGCTCCCCTCTCCTTTCATACAATAGGAAATAGTTGAACGTGAAATAGTGATGATAAAACGATTATGAAATAGAATTATTGTGTTCGCGTGCTCTGTCGAGGTGAGGGCCTCCGCGTCGAAGCAATCGGCGAGCGACTCCACTTTTTTATTTTTCACGATCCTCGCTCGTTGCTCCTCGTCGGAGACTCTCCCTTCTGGATGTATATAGTGTGAAGTAGCTGGAATTCCGAATTTTTCGACGATCTCCTCCCTTCGTTCGAGCCCTCCGACTCGAATCAACGCGTTCAGGTAGCGTCGAAGACTTTACCGAACATTGCGATGAACAATATTGTACATCGTTGAAAAATCTGTCTGTGAGAACTCGGTGATCGAGAGGTGAACGGGGCCATGTAATGCGTCGATTTTTTATTGAAACAGCAAGACTTTACATGGAACAACGTCATCATCGATGTAGTACTCGTCGTCGTTCACCGAATTGTTAACTAACATCCGTCACTGCCAACCGCCGACGAGCCGACGTCGACGGTAGTAAAATGCTGTTTCTATTGATCTACGACACACGGGTTCTCGCGACACGATTTTGTACAAGGCGAGTGTTGAGATTTTATGTAAAGACGATATTGTTGGTAAAGAGAGCGTGGTTGCTCGTTGAGAAACGGCAATGAGAAAGAACGAAACGCGTGTAGAGGAGGACTCGAGATTTTCTTTTCTGTTTTGTTCATCGTCGAAGCGGAAAGGATCGGCGAGAAACGAGGAACGATAGTCGTCAGAGCCGACAACCTGTTATATTTCGTCGCATCGAATCGACCGAGAGTGTCTCGAGAACGGATCGAAGGGGACGTAATCGAGGACGGCACGTGTCCCGAAAAACAGGAATCATAGAGTGTAAAAATGTATATGAGTGTGTCGCGCGGTTAAACGAACGATTCCCTCTTCGGCGGCTCGCGACACGTCTCGGACTCGGTGGACGATGATTTGTTATTATGCCGAAATCTGTTAGTTTTTGTCCTACATATTAGCGTTAAAATAGAATGGGAATAGTAGAAATACCGTTGTGTTGTTTTTTTGTCTCTTTTCTTTTTTTTCTAAGAAAATGAGGAAGAAAAAAGGAAACTTGATCGAGCGTCAGACAGGAATTTCATGCAGGTGATCATTTACGAAACGAAAAAAAAAAAACGATTTTGGGAAGGTAAAAAGATTTCGAAAAAACAACGTTTGGCGAAGTATATGTAATAATTCGACTCACGCAAGACGGTTGAAGAGATACAGGAAAAATCGGGCGAGACGCCGCGCTGGTATACGCGCGTCTTTTTCATTTTTGTAACGCTCACGCGCCAGCTCCGTGCATCGGTTCTCTTTTTCGATCGAGCGCGCGGGCAAACGTGACGTTTTGTTCGTGCCGTCAAAATTTCGCGGAAAAAGAGAAACAACAAAATTCGAGGTTCAATAGTCGCGCTTTCGGCCCGCTTGTTTTTCGCGGCTAGAGAAAGAATGAGAGAGAGAACGCAACCGTTCGCATCCGCTTCCTTCCCTTCGTATCTCGGCAGAAAGCTTATCGTTCTTTGATTACTATTAATATGCATCATTATTCTTATTATTATAATTATTACTCTATTATTAATTAAGGAAATCACGGGGAACGAAGAGCGAGAGTAACCGATTGCGACAGCGCGCGCGTGAGCGAAGATGCACCGTGATCATCAGAGAGCGACACGCTCGATGAGAACAATTCCTCACAAGATAAAGAAAGAAAAATTAAAACGTAACTAAAATAAATTAAATGAGTAAATAAACTAAAGTAATATTATAGATCAGGAAGGAAGTAATAAATGGTGAATTGGAGGAAAAAGGAACACATACACACACACGCGGAAACACACGAGCGAACGATAAACGCAGCGAGACCGAGATTCACTCGATCGAAATTTTTATTGACCATGTAACTCGAAACGAATGAAAAATAAATGTCTATTTCGACGTAAGCGCGTTGAGCATGGCAGGAGACTAAAAGGAGAACGATATATGAATATTATTAGGTATTATTAAAAGACGAGTGAATTAAGGAGAAGATGTCTGTGAGAAAAGAAAACAAGAAGCGAGACACACTTCTTCGTGAGTAGATTTCAAGGATTTTCTTTGTCCGTTTTCTCTTTCTTCTTTTTTTTTCAAACTCGTTCGTAAAGATGTATTTCGTGCGTTTAAATGCTGTAAATATGCCGAAGGAAGACTGTCGCGAAACACGCAGAACGGAAACAGATGAACATCCTCTTCGAGTTTAGGGAAAGTAGATCGAGACATGTTTCACGCGGGCCAGAGAACGGAAGTATGGAGACGGAAAAGAAAAGTGCGAAGAGTGGCAACTGTCAACAATATTTCGCTGTTTCGTCTGAGAGATCACGTTTGAAACTCGCGAGGAAAGAGAAAAAAACGGAAACGACGATCGTCTGCATTTTTTGTTCAAAATTTTTTTTTCTCTACTCACTTCTTTTGATTGTCGGTTATTAAAATTGGTTTTTGAAATCATCATCTTTCCTTTTTCTATTACTTACGTTTTTGCGCGTTTAATCTGCGCCCGATTTCCAACGATTTCATGATCAACCTTCATTATTTCCCATCGACGCCTCTTAACTTCTCATCTTGAATTCTTCGTTTAACTTCCCTCATTTTCCCCTCCGAGTCTCGTTATCTGTCTCTTTATATTTCTCTCGGTCCACGAACGGAAAAGCAGACCTCGTGAGAAGCAACAGGAATAAACGTACGGATTCGCACTCAGAGCTATTTTTTTTCCACTCCGCGAGCAAAGTTAACGTGACGCAGTCAAGATTTTTGTGTAACCATGACATTGTGTACTCCGTGCAGTGAAACAGCAGAGGATAACAGAGTGACAAGTTGTCTCTTTCCGGTCGAACATTTTTTTTACATTCACACACACACACACACACGCAGAAACAGACACACGAGGATAAGGAAACAATACGAAATCAATTTATATTGAATTTATGTGTAACATTCAATCGAGGATTGTATATAGTTACAATGCAGTCCATGAGTTAAGATACATTCTCCTTTTTCTACCATGAGAAAAATAAATTATTCTAGTTAATAAAAAAAAAAAATAATTGTGTGCGTTAGTGTCTCTTTTTTTTCTTCTTTGTTGCCAATCTTCCCGATGATCATCCACATTGAACGACTTTTTACTTACCGTCGCGAACGCCCATACACTATGTAAACGAATTTTATTGTTGTGATGTGAAAAATAAACGTTTCAGAAATTCAGAGGGTCTTGCTGAAATGAACCGAACAATCGCGTTGCCTCATGATCTTCGACACTTCGTCAAATTAATTCCTTCTTTCACTTTCTTTTGTATTTTCATACTTCACATGACTGACGTTCTCTGTCGAATTTAATAACATCCAATACGATTGATTAATTTTTATCATTCGGCGAAGAAAACAAAAAATTAAGTTTTATAAAAAACAACGTTTGGATCTAATAACATATTACGAAACACTTACTTCTAGTGTACATATGTGATATAAGTAGATATATACAAGTAAAATTAGACTTAACGGAACGACATTATGATTTACAGTACGAATAAGAAAAAATTGACTAGGTTTCGACTATAATTTTACTTTCTCATAGTTTCGAGTTAAGATCGCCTTGACGTTCTGTTTCTATCATATTCAATATTTAAATTATGATTTAATACAAGCTCGATTCGCGTCGCAAAGGGTTTTAGTTCAATTCTCGATTCATGAGCTTTCAAGTTGCAACAACATCCTGACTGGATCGATACAATTTCTTTACGGAACAAATCGAGATTGAACGATGAGAAACAAGATCGAACGACGATCATCTAAAGTCAAATAATTGCTATTATCTTTAAAGAATAATCTTTGGCAGAAGTTATTTGTTTCATTTTAAAAGTGAGATACCGGCGGAGTGAAGAACGCGTTATGTCGGTCTGAGGGCACTGACCATGTCGCCCAGTAACCGTTCCACGCTGACATCCCCTACAGTCGGTTTAAACAACAGTTCTTGGAGGGTTGATCGACAGAGCGCGCGCGCTGGGGGTAGCAGTAGCAACAGTCGGCCGACCCTTCGAGCATCCCTTTCGCAGAACACGGCCACCGTTTGTTCTTGTAACGCCGTTACTCGTCCTGGCTCGCAGAGTCCTCGTGATTCTGAATTTGAAAATAATACTTATTATATTCAAATTAAATATTTATAAAATTTACGGGATTAAACGTTGACCGACTGCTCGTGTTCTGAACTAAAAAAATCGATCGCACCTCCTTTGAAAAGGACTATAGCCTTGAGGCAAGCGTACTCTGAATGATCGACCCTGAGGAGGACACATTTGGCCAGCAATTCCCTCAGTCTCCTCACTTCGTCGACGAGCGTTTCTTTCCTCTCGGGCGATAAATCGTTCGGTACCAGACTGGCTTCCTCGACCGGGAAATTCCACTGCGCAGCTGTAAGAACGAAAAGCTCGCTCCAAGACTCCTCCAGTAGAATGGTCTGGTCTCTGTAGGGCAGCTTGGAAGAACATGCGAAGATTTTTATACGGTAAAACGCTAATAAAAAATATTGTTTGAATCGAGCCTGTTTAAAAATGAACTTGAACAAACGACAAAGCTTTATTGAATTACCTGTAAGAAAGAGTGAATACTTCTCGCCCACCTGACTGCGAAAAAGAGCAGTTTCGCTGCGAATTCGTAAATATTCTCCGTGGGTAGAATGGAGAAGTTAGTCATGTACTCAGGGGAACCAGAGTTCGTAATAGTCGACGCCAATCGAATGCTCGCTAGTTCCTCTACATTAAAAACAACTGTTAAACGTCAAATTTAATTTCGTTCGAATAAACATGTTTTTTTGTGCAAAAAATTTTTACCCTTCGGCTCGATTCTTGCGTCAATCGATCCAGCTTCCTCGGAACTCGTCACCTCGTCTTCTTTAGCTGTGTTTACGGTTAAAGATTCTGTCGGTGATCGAGGCAGAAAATGTGCTATAAATTAAAAAGAAATTAACTGTAAATGCGTTCTAATAAGATTCTATGTCACAATCGTCTCATAGAAAGGAATACTAGATTTCTCGATCAAATCTTTCTGCTTACCAACCGCTGGGGTGAAAGTCGGCATCGTCGGCTTAAAGGGAAACAACGCTGGGTACAGAAGGGGATGATAAGGATTGCTCGCTGCATGATAAACGTGCGGGATTCCAGGATACAATCCTGAGGGACCTCTTCTCGCAGCTGCGACTAGAGACGACGTGTTCCTTGGAGCTCTCTCGTGTTGCACCGCTGTGAGCATCATTTGTTAGTATATATTTTTCCGTCACGTTTTTTACAAATTACTCGTTAACTATTGACGCTAGCAAGAAACTTTTATACAGAAATTGTAGATCTCGTCGTCCTCTACAAGAAAGGTCCTATGCAATTTTCCCGTAACGCCAACGGTTTGGGAGTTATTGGCCAAAAACAAAAATTTGGAAAAAATTGAAGGGGTACCCCTTGGAAAAATCTCGGAAGAATCGAAAATTTTTTTTTTGTTGTTTATTATTAGCAATGTTCTTCCGACGTCTGATTTCTTTTTAAAAAATGCGTTTCTGAAGTGCATAAACTTTTGGGATTGACTGAAAACCAATACATCCTTAAATAACTACGAGTAAAGTTAAATAGAAGAACAGATGTCCTAACAAATTATCCCTCGTCTAAATTCAAACTCGAGTCACAGATGTTCCCACACGTAGTGAAACAAAATCATAGCTACTTGGGTCCCCCCAATCAGTTTCATCTTTTTCTACGAGCGGAATCAAACCCATAGAGGACCACTGGCCGCTAATGGCACCTTTCGTACCCTCCCTCGCTAATTGATATCTCCGTGCAATCAAGTGTTTGGATTATCGGTCCGGGCTGGAAGTGTTTGCAAACGCTGTGAACGTCAGGCTGTTCGTGACACTGCTCATGGCTAAGGCTAACTTTCCCCGATTCCGGCGCGAGCGAGTACGAGCGTAGTATTTCATGTGGGCGCGAGCACCCTTTTTTTTTCACTGCCTCGCCAGCCCTTCGGGCAGATTCTCTATTTCTCCTCTCGACGGGTCGCGGAACGTCTCGAACGCGTATTATAATGTCCCCTGAATGTTGAGCACTCGCGTATTTGCACGGACACGCGGCTGGAGAAATGGGAAACGTATCGGTTCCTGTCATCCGCAAGCCTCCTGACATATGAGACGCTGGTCGGACCTCTATCCGAGCTAACTCTCTCGGAATACGTCTCGTCGTTTTACGGTTTTCATTCGAGAAAGAGTGTCGAGAGGAATTTGTCATAAATATAGAGTTAAAACGTAATCACCATTAAAGCGTAGCGTACCATCACGTTTCATGTTGACCTGAAGACATTTAGTGAACCGACATGCCTGGCACTGATTGCGACGAGAAACGTCCACTATGCAACGGCCATTCTCCTTGCAAACGTAATCTAGGTTCCTGCACAGTAAAATTAAATTCCTCTAAAACAATTAACGGTAATAGAATTGATAAATCACGTTCATCGATCACTACCGAATAAAACAGGAATATAAGACAAATCTTCAGTTATTAGAGTTAATCGTATGATTTGTCGAAAATGTCATTTTGGAAATAATACTAAGTTAATTACCTTGCATACCTGCGGATCGACCGCTTAAAGAAGCCACGGCATCCGTCGCAGCTCGGCACTCCGTAATGTTTGCCAGATGCCTTGTCGCCGCATACTTTACACAAGCTCTCAGCCCGGCTGCTGTCGTCCATTTTACTTTAAAACATATCAGTGTAATTATGCAAAACAGATTTTATGTACGCATCGTCGTTTTGCTAAAAAAAAGTTTTCAAGGATGTCTTTTGAGGTGTTACAATAGTGTTAGTCTTTAATAACAAGATCGAACTAAATGTATTCCTCATTATCTGCAATTTTCAATCGTATATCGGTATAAGATTCCTAAGCTCTGTGACGCTACCCTATAATGCCTCGAAGAACTTATAGCCGCCGAGCGACGGGTTGTTGCATATTGCAGCATGTAATGATAAGATTTGAGAATTGTTAAACGTCGGTCTTCGATTTTTCAATACCTACGACTTACTGACTCCGTTGATTTCTGAACAAGTTATACAGCAAAATCAACAATTTTCCCTATTACGTGATACTAGCTATACCTCGAAGTAGCAGTCAAATCTAAATAGAAAATTTTGTTCCTTGCTTCTTCGTTCGTTATTATCAGTGACTTGTTTTAGTACAATTTTTTCCAAAATTCTGTCCGTCATAATACTTCAAAGATAGACGACAAAGGAGAACGGAAACACGTGGAGTTATCGCCCGTTGCGAAACAGAGGTAAAAAGCTACGAAGCAGAAGGAAAGCCGGAGGTCAAGCTGAAATATCCCCAACACTTCCGTTGACTTTTGCAACCCCTTTCCTCGGCGTGGCTCGCGACCACCGTTCTCCACCTCTTCGTTCTCCGGCCCTTTTTCGTCGAGGGTCTCGGACCGGCTTCGCCACGGTCTTTCTCGTTCTAATAGAACGCCGGGCCACCTGTAGGGTTCTCAGGCTCAATAATGCATCGGTGACGTGGAGCATCGCTCTCGTTCGTCGGTGGTGAACCACCGAGAGAGTCCTGGTGGATGATGTCACGTCCCGCCGCACCTCTCGCCCCGAAGACCAGTTTCACCGGCACCGTCATTAAACCATCACAGAAGCTTTCATGGCGGAGAGATCTCTTGCCTGAGGCCCTAGCTTCCTTAACGCGTACTCCACCCATAAACAGGGGCGATCGTCGCATGCGAGTGTTAACCTGCCATAATATTTTTATCGCCCGATGACTGCTTTTTACAGAACGTACAATGGGAACGTTTTATCGTCACGAAAGAGGAAGAGATTCGAAAGGTATCTCCCAGTGTCGTATCATTCAAGACGTACAAATAAATACATAATTTGGAGGAAGAAATCTTTGTATCGTCGCTCGTAGCCATAGTAAATCTCCCAATTTCTACTCACTGACTCAAAATTGCATATGAAATTATAAAAAGAAAGGCAGTGAATAAAAATTACAGTACGAACAGAAATTGGTGCATGTTCTATGTGTCTACATAATTTTTATATAATGCTGACGAAAAATGGAAAGGAAGGAACTTGCAATTAACTGAAAGTCGAGTATCGTATTTGAAGTATTACGTTGTTTCGCCGGTGTGTCGTTACATATGGGCGGGTTAATTTAACCCCGTTCGCACGAACATCTATCGCGTTCACGCACGCACGTAGCAAACATATGTCGCGCATTGCGTGAACCGTCCGATTTTCAATACGGCCGAGCGAAACCCTTCAAGAAGCAACGGAATATCCGTGAAAATATTATGACACGGGGCGAGGAGACTTCGATTAAAAAGATGTAAGCCCGAAACGGCCGGAGCGGCGTCATAATTTTTTAGATTCAACGCGAGCTCATCGATCACGGGAACTTCGATAAGCTTGTCACAGTTGCGCTTCAAGCTGGCTTAATGTCGGCTCGATGACTTTTCGATAGTTCGTTCGTCGCAAGATGTCGGAAGTTCGCCGGCTGAAAAATTCGACGGGCCTCTATGCAAATTTTTTTCCTCGTCACGTCACGTGCATCGTTTCACATAAAAAATGCTGATAGATCGATCGCCAGAGAAGGACTCTCGCGTCGGTCTTCGACGAAATTTCAATGTGAAACGTATTTTTCCATCCGTTCTTTGCAAATTTTCATGAGCGGAAACGCGACTATCAATAAAATATGTCCAGTCTCCTCTACGTTTACCTCGTTTCTATTATTTCACTAATCGTATCAATAACGCCCTGTTTGAATACAATGAGAGACTAAACAGAGGGTCCATTGAGAAAAAAGACACGTGTCGTTAAATGCACTTTTTCGAACCACCGTACGACATGTCACACCTCGCTGTATGTAACTTTCACCTGGACCTTTCATTCGCGTTTCTAAAACCGTCAATTTAAATGCACCACAATGGAAATAAATTTTCCTCCGCTCATATTATGTTACGTGAAACTCCTCCCATAAACAGTGGCTTTTAATTATCTATAATTTTACGCAGACATTTAATTACAGAGATCCGTCAATGAGGTTCCGACGGAACGAGTCATTTCTCTCTCCCACCCGTCGAGGTTTTCATAAATTTTTAAACAGTTCCGTGTAAACATTCGTCGTTAGCCCCAGCCCTGACGTGACTTTTGCTGTCTGAAAGGGTTGACTGCAATTAAGAGCTTCTGAATAATAAACAAACTGCAATCGTGACGATAACCCGACTCGCCTTACGTCGACCCGTTTCTATAGCCAGCGACGATGTCATTCGTTCCAACCGTGTCGAATATTTATATTCCACGCAAATACCAACATTCACTATGAATTAATAGCAATGCCAGTGATAATTAGAGGATCGATATTTACGAGATGACCTTATTTCATGATAATGATCTTATCTAATAGAATTTTATAAAAAAAGTTACAAAAATACTTTTTTATTAAGACTTTTATAGCATAGTAACTTCGACGAGTATAAATTTCACTTAAACAATTTGAGAGAATTATTCGGGAGGTCGAATTTGACTCTTAAACTGATTTTAGTTCACCGGCAAGCGTGTAGGATTAGTTTCGGTGGCGCACGTGCACGCTTCGCACGATTGGCAGTGATTGCGTGTTTCAGTCGAGTGTGTCGTGTACGCTGACCGTGCAGCATGTTAAGGTTCCAGGACACCCGTGATTTCACATACTTCTCCGGTTTTCGTGATACCGGTCGAACAACCGGCGCGCGATTACGTCCTATCTGTTTTATTAAAAATAGATTTTTCTACCGCAAGTTTCGTTTATCTTTCAGATGAGCACAATTAAAAGGAATCCTGAGAGACGATTTAATTGCAATAGTGATTAAAAAATATAAACCTATATCAACTTCGCTCAATATGCGAAGTGTTAATTTTTATACGCTTTCTATTGAAAAATAAGAATTAATCAAATTCTCGTGATATGTGACAAATGTGAATTTAATAAAGAATAATTTCAAAGAATACAGAAAGAAAACTGGAAAAGTTTATAGCACATCGAACAAGTGTTACAGTTTTTCACGACTGTGCATTACACGTGAGATATTGTGACCGAGGGAATTCATGACAGTATCGAACATGTGCGGAGTCTTTTAACATATGTGTGAACTTGTCAGAAAAGTCGACATCACGCGGCGGCCAAGAGTCGAGTGCCGTGAACCAACAATTACATGCCTCACCGACGAGAACTGAATTTACAGGTGTGGTTGTTTACAGATAATAATCAAACTGTTGGACACATGCTGCGTCTAATCGTTCTGTTGCGAAAAGTAGTAGTAAACCGACGAACGAGAGACATAAGACAATTCTAGGGACCCTCCAGGGAGGGACCGGACACCTACTTAAAAATGCGCCTAAACCGGGAGTTACATATTCCGGTTTAGGCGCACTTTTTCGCAGCCAATCGAAAATCATCACTTAGGTGTCTAGTCTCTATCTGGTGAGTGGCTACACAATTCTATCAAGACTGGTTCACGTAGATATTATCCTAAGAAATAAGATTGACATTTATTCCTTACCAGTAAGATAATCTTGAAGATCAATCGCCAATTCGTGTCTGCTGCTTCTCCGAACTCTCTCAATAAAAATATTGAGCTGATTGTGTCTGTATCGTACGAATCTATAGGAGAATCTGTGATAACGACACTCTTCCCTCGAAAGTTCTCCAGTCAGCGATGATAGCCATCTTTGCACAGAAGGAAACGGAACGTTTAATCTATCGTTACTTGCGAGTTAAATACTCTTTTCTCTACCAGTGAATTAAGTTTAACGTTAACGTTGATAAAATCCACTAAACTCTTTGGCTAATAAATTATAGGAAAAAGCATTTCTTTTACTGAAAATTTAGTAAACAATTCTTTAAGGATTTTCTAACCGACGATTCTTGACTAGTAAACGAGGATCGAAACAGTATTTATACATATACCGATTAACTATTCACCATCTAATTTCTGGAGCCGGTCAAACGATCACTCGAACTTGCACGATTTAATCAACGATTCTCCGGCGAGTCTGCAGATGCGAGATTCGGAGGTGTCAGATCGACGTGACCGGAAGCTAAAGAACGCGGGAGAAATCGAACCGGAGGGCCTTTATCGCGAGGACTGCGACGTCCTGGGTGCACGGGGTGACACTCGTGATCTATGGCTTGTAATTCTTGGTCTATGTTCGCGGCTGCAGGGTTGGTTAACCGACCAGGATCCCGTCGCCGTTGATCGTCTCCACGCCCAATCGGGAAATCACCCTCTCGGGGGTAGCCGAGGGTCGCGAGCGATTGGTCGACGGGCGTGGCGTATCCGTCGATGCTCACGGTGGTTGTACGAGTCCGCAGGGGATGCAACCCCTCGGCGGTGAGGAAGCTCCGCCGCTGAAAGTGCGAAAGTCAACTCGTCGCGCGATCCCAACCCCTCGTAATCGACGTGAATTTTTGTTAAAAGTTTGAGACGCGGGGTCGAAGCCTCTAACCGCCGCGAGGAGTCTCCGTCAGATTCGGTTCGTTGTCAAAGTGTATGACAAAAATGCGCTCGTGATACACGAAAATGGTTAACAGGCGCTTACAGTGATATTCTGTTCTTGCCAGTAAATTATACTTGGACATTCAATATTATATGAATTATAGTCATTTAATAATCTAAAATTCATAATCGTTACAAAGACATAATTTAGCAATGCCATTTTATGTAAATTTAAATAGTATAAAAAACAACACAGTAAATTTTTGTATTCTTGTCTCGAGAAAGTGACAGTTCAAAGTAGTAATAAAAATAAGATACTTACGATACGATTCTGATAGTGGCGATAATAACAGTATGAAACAGAATAACAAATAAAGAGATAATTCATTTTACAGACAGACAACAGCAACGAATCGTTATAGTCACCTGTGCGTTTCACACGGTGTGGTCTACGTTACAATAAGAGATGGTCGTAATAACCAGAGCTATTGAATGTTTCATTTATTATTCCCTGAAAATCAATGATCGCCATCTCTTACATATTTCCATGTTGCGTTACGTTCACTGATTACAGACTTGCATAATTACGTTATTTTACTTCGAAATGAATAAATAAAAATAATGCTGAATTATACTACATAAATTTCACATGTAATATTCCTTTAATTTGTCTTCGCTATAAAAATCAGAATATGAACGTGTAAAAAATGCAACAATTGTGATCAAATGAGAACGATTGGTATATTAAAAAGAGGAGAAAGTGACTAGTGGATGGGAAAACTTAATTCGAACCGCGTCTGTGATTCTGCTGGAGCAAGGCAAGCGGTCTGCACTTGATAGGTCGAAGGATCCGCAGGATTCTGAAGCACCTCCTCGACGTGGCAGGAGCAGAAAATCGCGTTGAAGTGGTAACGGTCGGGCTAATGGCTCGGAGACGATATTTTGTTAAACAAGGAAACCTTTTATCCCCCATACCATTCCTTGGGCAAGCGCTCGAGGACAGGGACGGCTTCGTTTCAAAAGAACTCCGATTCTACCCGCCCTCGTACTCACCCTCCACGCGTTCCAAGTTTCACTAAATGTATTTACGTACCTACTTTATTTTTTCTCCAAACATTGGTCAGCAATTAAAGTCTCCATTCATGCTCTAAAGAAACATTTTTATTTATTCCACAAAAATTGCACAAATACGATTCTTTCTAAAAAACAGTTCATACCACTCGAAAAATTTGAATTTTCATATTATTTATTGAATTATTTTTTGAATATTTATTTTACTTATTGAACAATTGTGTGCATTAAAATATATGAAAATATCTTGTAGAAGAATACGAGGAAAGAGCAGCCACTTATTTATTTCGTACACGTAGGAGGGTGAATCGAGCCGAAGTGAATCGCGATAAAAGCGGCCCTGTACCGTCACTTTGGTTTTCTTGTCACCAGAGAAGAGAACGAGCTGAAAGTGTGAACCGTCGACCACCGCGACAAGATACCACCTGCCCTTTCCCATGGTTCGCCCACGCATATACCGGCGCGTTCTCGCGAATTCCTTCGTTCCCTTCTGGCCTAAATCGCTTCTCACTTTCTTCGGCCCTCCTGTGAAAGATGCGAATCGATGCGGCCCGCGTACCAACTATCCAGGCGACTCCCGAGGAGTTTCGTTCGCGGTAAGCCTCGACTGACAAGTTAATTCACTCCGCTCCAACGAGCCTGGCAGATGATGCATGAGGACTCGACGACAGGAACACGATCTGACCTCAGTGTCATTTTTAACCGCTACTCCCGATGTAAGTATTATAAATCGACTTGCTCTCTACTAATTTTTTACATAATGAAACGTATCACTGAAATTATTTCGATAACTTTATAAGTGCAATATAAATGATACAAAATTAGATTGAAATTAGAATGGAAAATAAAGAAGAATGAACACAGTTTCAATAATTCAAGAGGGAAAAAATTAAAAAAAATACTGGTTCCGACCGGGATCGAACCGGCGACCTTCTGCGTGTAAAGCAGACGTGATAACCGCTACACCACGAAACCACAGTGCCGACTGTTTCTTCCGCGTGCTAGGTAATCCGAAGATTTTGTACCTATGTACTTTTATCAATGAATATCATTCTGTTAAATGCATTTGTATATTATTGCACTTTATTTATAAATATGTGAAAAATTGCCGTACAGAATTAATAAGTAGTTCACGTGGCAGTGAGTATAACATAAATAATAGTATTAAAACGTTATGTGTCTCTTATATTCTATTTAAGTTTCGAATCGCACTTTCCCATCTTTGTCTACATTGGAAAACATAAGTACATGAATAAAACGATCGGTGCATCTCATATCAGCAAAAATTAGACGCACGAAATAAATTTAGTCGATTAATAAATTATTTACTATAATTACAGTGTTAATAGGAAAATTACGGAAGACAATTATGAAATCAATCGTTTCAGTCTTGCCGATGGAAGCTCGATCATTTTTTTAATCTATTTGAAACAAATCGGTCCCACCGTGAAGCCAAACGCCTGATGAGGCGATCCGTAGTCGACCGGATAAAAATCAACCAGCGGTAATTGATCCAACTTTCTACTTTGAATCAACAGCACCGTCTCTCCTTTGTTCTTCCGCATTTTACAATTGTCGGCTACGATTTGCGGCTTGATACCGGTGTGCGAAAATTCGTCCTCGTTTGCGCCTAATAGCCGTAAAGAAGAATCGTAGTCAGAGTTCAGCGCGTCGTACCAAGCAACACCGTTGATACAGGTGTACGTAAAATTTTGACTGGCCTCTTGACTCAGTAAACGCAAGAAGTTCAACTGCACGACTCCTATAGTCTCGTACGTAATCTGTAATAGAGCGCAGGATTAAAATACAGAATGGGAATACGAGTTTTGACTCACCTTGAATCCACCGCGTAGGTTCGAATACCAATCTGTTTTATTGTCTTCCTTCCTCCATGGTATGTTTGGCATTTGACTCGTATGGGTGTCTGGAAATACGCAAGTTTCGCCCATGTTCGTCATGTTGCAATAAACGTACACTGCGTCGTCAGGCATTCCCAAGTTCGGATCGATCCAATGCCATCCTATTTTTTTTATCTCGTATTATTTGGTACGTGATTCAAAAGTGGCCGAATCATAAACGGAAAGAGTACAGACCGTTCTGAAACTGTGGGTGACCGTAAAATAGATCTTTGCAAGTCCTCGCCGGATTTTCTCGGCTTCCAATCGGTTTACGTATTCGATCCAGTTCCTGTCTCATAGCGTATATCGAACTGTACATGTCTAAGAATTTCGGCCCAAGCTCCTCTTCTATTTTCTCCTTCTTGACCGAACTTTCTGAATTTTCTTTTTCCTTATCATCACCGTCTCTAAATTCCGAAGAATAGTTATGACTGTGGATATTAAATTAATGAATCTCTCGCGATATTTCCTCATTTCGAAAATATTAAAAATGAATTTAAAACATTTGTGTCGTGAACTATCGAAAAAGTGATTACTGATTTACATGTCGTCCGAAGTGTCGCGTCTCTTCCGCAAAATTTGCTCCCTGGTGAACAATAATTCAGGAGGAATCATCGGTTGTTCCGCAGGTGGTCCAGGAGGACCTGGAGGCCCTGGAGGACCCGTTTCACCTTTTGGACCGTCGTTGCCACTATTTCCTTTAGGTCCCGTCGGTCCTTCCATTCCAGGAAGTCCTGGTGGTCCATCGTTTCCCTTGAATCCCATTAAACCCGACGGTCCCTGATCGCCCTTCGGCCCTTCAGGTCCAGGAGCACCTCGCGGTCCCTGTTCTCCTTTTTCACCTTGTTCGCCTTTTAATCCAACCTGACCTAATTCACCTCGATGCCCCTTGAGTCCTCGTTTGCCTCTGTCGCCCTTTGGTCCTTTTGGTCCGACCGGTCCAGCTTTCCCTGGAGCACCGACAGCGCCTGGCATTCCCGGTGGCCCATTTTCACCGGCAAGTCCTGGGAGTCCTCTCATACCTGGCAGACCAGTTGGTCCCGGAAATCCTTGAGGGCCTAGAGCACCTTGAGGACCCGGTGCTCCAGACGGACCAACATCTCCTTTTTCTCCTGGAGGCCCTGGGCTTCCTTGTACTCCAGCCGGACCCTCGGATCCCTGAAGAAAATTAACTTCACTTGAAGATAATCGTTTTATCGACAAAATATTAAATCCATCGTTAAGTGAAAAATTATATAATTCTTTACTTGTTTCCCAGGGGATCCAGGTAATCCTTCTTTTCCCGGAGGACCTGTCTCTCCCGGTGGTCCAGGATCACCAGATTTCCCATCTTCTCCATCTCTTCCAGGTTCCCCTTTTAATCCGATCAAACCTGGTTCTCCGGGAGGTCCAGGAAAACCAGGAGGTCCCACGCTGCCCTTCGGTCCTTCCGGACCGTTTATACCACGGCTACCAGGCGGTCCCGGAGGACCACTTTTTCCTTCTTCTCCTTTCGGGCCTGGAGGACCCCTTTCACCCTAAAATATACAATTCACCATAAAATATACTAATTTATATTTTTTTTAATCTAATTAGCGTGATTGTAGAAAATTCTTAGTCTTTCTCACCAGCTTTCCTTCAGGACCCATCGGACCCGGGAGTCCTGGGGCACCGGCTTCTCCCTTTGCGCCTTGTCGACCTTCTGGTCCTGGAAGTCCTGGTAAACCTTCGGATCCCTTGTATCCTCTCGGACCTTGTTCACCTGGACTTCCAGCTGGTCCTACTGGACCAACTGCACCGACGTCTCCCATTTCTCCTTTCAATCCCGGAGGGCCAGGCATTCCTTGCGGCCCCACAGGACCAGAAGGTCCTGGTGCACCGACAGGACCATCCTCACCTTTTGGTCCTTGCCTTCCGATTTCTCCAGGTGGTCCCTTTTCACCTGGTAAACCGATGGTACCAGGTTCACCACGAATTCCTTGTATTCCCGGTGATCCTGGAGGACCCTATAAAGAAAATGGACTCTAAATATGAAAGAGTATTCCATCTTATATTGTGACGTTATTCAATTTGAACTGCACGCATGTACCATTTCTCCTTGAGATCCTTTGAATCCTTTCTCACCGGGCGGACCAATCTCTCCTTTGTCTCCATCTTCTCCTGGAACGCCGACAGGACCGGGAGATCCTGGCAATCCACGTTGTCCTGGTAATCCGTCTCGTCCAGTAGAGCCTGCCGGACCAGGTTCACCCTAATGAATTCAAATTGTTTAATATATTTTCATTTCTGTCTTGATATCACTTTCGATCGTATTTATGTATTACCCTGTCGCCTTTCAAACCAACTGCTCCGGGTGGTCCTTTTGGTCCTTTACTTCCCTGAGGACCCGGTTCTCCGTCTATTCCAGATTCTCCTTGAGCACCTTTGTCACCTGGTGGACCTTGAAGTCCTGGTGGTCCTACTTCACCTTTTGTACCGGGCATTCCCTGTTAAAAAAATATTTTTTTATCGTACGATTCAATCGGTCTTATCGATAGTCTTCAATGCAGTATATAAAACAAACAGGTAAACCACTTAGTCCTCGTTCGCCAGGAAATCCTGGCAATCCACCAGGTCCTGGCGGTCCTTCCTTTCCAGGAAGACCAACTGGTCCCGGCGATCCTTCCTTTCCTTGCTCTCCAGGAGGGCCTGTTTCTCCTGGAGTTCCTGGATTTCCTGGACTCCCAGGCTCTCCCGGTTGACCCGGTTCACCGGCCGGACCTTGCGGACCGATAACACCAGGTGTGCCCGAAGGTCCAGGTGATCCGGAATCGCCCACTGGTCCACGTTCTCCGGGAGGACCAGGAATTCCATCTTTTCCGTCGAGACCAGCTTGCCCGGGAGATCCTACGAATCCGCGCGGACCTTCGATCCCTGGCGGTCCAGGTTCTCCTTGCAATCCTTGCGGACCTGGCTGTCCGGTGTCACCCTTTGGCCCTGGCAATCCCTCGGCACCTCGTCTTCCACGAGCTCCTCTAAATCCCTTTGTAAAAGAAGATATTTAATTACAAATTGATAATAACAATAATTAAAGTCTTCACACATAGTATCTCTATATTATTGTTTCTTATATTTGCACACGTACTCTGGGCCCTGGTTCGCCACGTTCGCCTGATACACCATTATTACCCTACAACAATAAAATAGTAAATGTTACTTTCATCGTACGTACGTATGCATATTATATTCGTTCTTCTCACCCTCTCCCCTTTATCTCCGCTAGGCCCTTCCCTTCCCGGTTGACCTTTTTCACCTTTTTCACCAAAATTACCCGGATATCCGATGAAACCCGGTGATCCAGTTTTACCCTTTTCACCAGGTGGACCTATCGATCCACTTTCACCACGCTGACCTTCGAAACCCTTCGGACCTTCCAAGCCTTCCAAGCCAGGAATTCCTTGCGGACCTGGCGATCCAGGCTCTCCCTTTGAGCCTAGATCACCTTTCTCTCCCTCTGGTCCTCTATCTCCCTTCTCGCCTCGTTCACCAGGCAGTCCACGTTTACCTTCATCGCCCTTCACACCGCGGACTCCCGGGAAACCTACTGGACCTTGTGGTCCCTGTGGTCCTTGTTCACCTTTCATGCCAGGACCACCTGGGTTTCCCGGATGACCAGGGGATCCATCCGCTCCTGGCAGACCGGGAATTCCCGGTTTTCCTTGTGGTCCCTGACATTGGAACCATGTAAAAATCAGTTACAATTAAATAGAATATAAATATTGAATATTTGAAAATGTTGGCAAACGTACGACTAAACCAGTTGGTCCTAAAAGACCTTGAGGCCCAGGTGGACCTACAGGCCCGATCGGTCCAGATGGACCTGGTTGGCCTGACGGGCCTGGCGGACCAGTATTGCCTTTTGCTCCCGGAGGACCTTCGCTTCCAGGAATACCAGGATTGCCAGGTAATCCAGGAAAACCTCGCGGTCCTATGAATCCTCGAGGCCCCTAAAAACATCTCGTAGATACAAACTCTGCGTGCGATAGTATGTCAATATGACCTTGACGTTTTAGTTACCATTTCACCAGGTAAACCTGGTAAACCTGGAGGTCCATCGTCACCTTGCATCCCTTCATGACCTGGTAAACCCTGTTCACCAGTAACACCCGGTGGTCCTCTTTCGCCCTTATCTCCTGGCAGTCCAGGCAGTCCCGGTAAACCTTGTTCACCTTTCATTCCAGGTGGTCCACTTAAACCTCGTTCTCCGTCCCTTCCAGGTCGTCCTCGCCTGCCTTCTCTACCAGTGTTTCCAGGTATTCCTGTGCAAATTGAGTATAGCAATATTCTCCTTGAGTAAAGATCCAACAAAAAATCCTAATTGAATCATGTTTTAATCTCGAGAGATAAATGTAAAGTTTATAAAAGATCGACCTCTTTCACCGCGCGATCCTGGCTCGCCGATTTCTCCCGGCTCTCCTTTCTGGCCTTGAGGTCCTGGAGGTCCTTCGGGTCCCGGAATACCTGTCAAACCCATCGGACCTTCGGCACCTCTCATGGCCATCATGTGCTGCGAAAGCATTTGCCTTAAAGCTTCCGCTTGTGTATCCGGCCCCTTCTCATTTCCTTGTTGATTCAACGACGGTATTATGAACACGTTACCCGGTGAACCAGGCACGCCTTGTAAACCTGCCAACCCGTCTCTGCCTGGTTCTCCTTTTTCACCGGGCGGCCCAGGCACGCCTGGAGGTCCCGGAAATCCGCGCGGACCCGGTGGACCCCTGGTATTATAATAAGCGGTGCTGTAATACGATCCCTCGGAAGACTCGAGATATTTCAACTCCCCTTTGTTTTCCCCGATTAAGTTTTCATATGCCTCGGACGCTTCTGGACTTGTCGTTTGATACTGACTCACCGTAGGTGAACCGACGTTGTTAAAAATCTGAAACAATTAATCGAATATTTATTAGTATCTTATAAAATTATTTATGACACTCAACTTACTGCGCTTTGATTATGAAGCAACGTTTCTATACTTGGCTTTAACGTGTACGTTGGAATCGTGGGTCTATAAGTTAAATTGTTACTCTCGCTAACTTCGGTTAGCGTGTCTTCACCCTCCTCGTAATCTTCTTCCGTTTCCTTTATGAAATTTTCGTCCTGTGCATTGTCCAAAGTATTTGAACGAGGTAACGTAGGTGTTCTACTACGACTCCTAGACGAATTCAAGGTGTCATAGTTTGTTTCGTAATACGATCTACTGGTCGGTACGTCTCCGTAACGAGGACCTCTGACCGTCTGACTGCTATCAGTACTCGTCGCACCCTCGTAATAAGTCGACGAAGTGATACGTGCCGCGAGGTCATAATTCCAAGTATTCGAATAACTATTACGTCCAAATTTAAATTTCGTTTGATTTCTACAATCTGGAGCGAAAATCTTGCAAATTTCATACGCTGCATCCGGAATTGGAGCGATCTTCAATGTTTCTAAGCCGCCCTATAAACGATTTTCTCGTTAAATCGTATCTTAAGGATTACATCCTTAAATTTGTCCACGTTTACAATTATTTGTTAAATATTCGTCACTTACCAGATACATATTACCATCGACTATTTGTTGACCTATGAGTATGATACCATTGACGCTTATTGTTTCGTCCATATTTCTACGCAATTCTTTAGAAATCTGTTTGTCACAGTCAAGAATTAAAGTGGCTGTGTTGCCCTTAATACTGATCCCGAAACGGTGCCAGTTCCCATCAGATATATCAATTCCAAATGGTATGGATCGGTCCTCATCATCCGGAGTGGTGCTATAGTAAAGAGTGATGTCACTGCCCAACGATAGCACCAACTGTTCCTCACCACTATCGCTATAGATAGCAAATAACGTGGCAGCCGGGTATCCTAATTTTTTGTAATTACATGCATACATCACACGGTTAAAAAATAAACTCAACTCAAAAATAAAGTCAGTGAATTGGAACTGTGATTCGACTGAGAGACTCGGCAAGACTACTGACCAACTTTTGGTTTGGCGACGACTAAGATTGAAAAATCTCGTGGTATGCCAGAAGGAAATAGAGTGTACGTATTGATCGTCAATAACGCACTTTCCGCGATATCATAAGCGACCGTGTCATTTCTGTGACAACGATTCTCGATTATTTGCACCCCGACTGGTTCCTGTTGCATTCCGGTACCGTCCACCAAATCCACGACATTTCTTTCTAAAACGACAAAGAACTATTTTTACTTGCTTTAAATGCTTCTTACGTAATCTTACGTTTGCAATAATCATAAATAGTCCAAAATTAAAATTCTTATTAAGAAAAAGAAAAAACAGGAATAGGTATATTTTAGAAATTTTTAAATCGATGTATTTTTAGAAGAGCTTAAGATTTCGCGCGAGGAAAGGGTGTAATTAAATAAGCATGATCGTGTGATAGGACAATGAACAGTTGGAAACCCAATAACCCTTGAACTCTTTAAGACATAACTCATCGCGTTGTTACGAACGTTTAAACCAGTTCTATTAAGAAGCCCTCTTTTCCAGAGTAGGACGTGCAGTTTTGCATGCTGCAAACAGTACAGCTCAATTAATGCAATAGGGATCACTTAAAAACGCATTTAGCAGTAAATAGACCAGCTATCACAAGCCGGTTTCTATAATAATCGACTTTGTATGTTAATAATTGTATGAATAAAAAAATAGATGCAATTCACATTATGTTAATCTAACACAGAATCATTGTTTCTGTTACACATGCTATTAGTACCTGAATTTTCTTAATATATCGAAGCCTTTAATTTTCTTTTTTCTTAAATTCGGAAAATAATTAATCGTGATATGAAACATTGATCGTGAAGAAAAATTACGGCACATTTACCGATGTTTCGCAAAGTTATGTCGGCTAATACCGGATACGATCCCAATATAACAAGGAGGTAAAATGCCCAAGAAACGGAGTGAATCTTGCGAGGCAGTCGCAGTGTTCTCCATTGCTGCTTCACGTGGTCCGGCCGCATGCTACCCCTTCCTCGTCAAATCATGATTTTCATAGAACTCCGGATATCGATCACCGTGAAAGCAATCACACACTTTTAAATAAAACCACGGGACACGGACAGGTTCAGCCACGATGCCGCGAAGGACCCGAGAGACTTATCTGAATGCAATCGTCTCGTACGATGCAGTCACCCTCTCCACACATTTCCTCTTCTTCTACTTCTTCTGTTTCAATCCCTCCTTTGTAATAATGCAACTCCCCGCCTTTCATTCTCATAACGATGCACACGCATTACTCACATGTGTCTTTTAATGACAAACCCGCGTCTCTTCTATTGACACTGATTCGGATAACACGTGGCAGAAAATAGAGGCCACGGAATCCTTTCGTCGTCGAAGCAAATGCAATTTTTTCTACGAACATCGGAAGGAAATTATAAGATATAAATGATTTTCAACCCTTTCATTTTCTACGTATATTTTATAAATCGTTTATTTGAATCAGTTACGAAACGATAGAACAGATGTTTCGATAAGGCTTGTAATACGAAATGTGCAAATAAGTTCGGACTTATTATTTTTAATTGCTTCGTGATTGAACGTTGTCGTCGTTTAACGATGAAAGTTTCAATTAATCACTTCCTCAATACTTTTGATTAATTACTTCCCGACTCAAGTTACTTCGCTGGAGTTCGACATTTGTCGTATCAGAATATATATATTGATTGAAATGTAGCTCTTAATCGATTAAATAATATATTATTAATAATAATAAACGTCATCGAATTTAACTATGCATTGATTTATTAATAATATACAATTATTTGCGCAAACCACCTCCAGGATTGGTCATTTGGTCAAGGATCGTGAAATAAAAATGCCAGGATTCTTTTTCATCCATTTATTAATCAAAATTATACCAGGTTTCCAGTGTACATTAAATTAATGGAATAGAATTTAACATACAGAGAGATTCTTAAACTTCTTCCCTTGATACCGCTTCCAGAATCTAATCTTTAATTCAATATGTGCGCTAATTTTTTAGATAAAGAAAATATCTGTAACTTCTCCTCGGTGCCGGGACGATTGTGCTTACAATGGTAAAGGAAGAACAACCGGCCGTCAGTATAGTAGATATCGTTAGTAATGGTATCCGCCAGTGGTTGGACGCGCATGGTTATCATGGGTTCTCGCATATACTACAGTGGAACCCCTTCAAGAGTTGGCCTCTTGGTGCAGCAGTTGTACGGGAACCACGAAATTCCGGCCATGAGCATTCTCGTTTCTTCTCTATTCCTACCGAAAGTCTGACAGTAGAATTGAACGTCCATCTGTGACACGGTTCTCAGCATCAATCCGCTTCGTTGCATTAAAACGACGACTACATTATGTAATTATCTGCGCCAAAGATAAGAAGTGTGGCCTATGTTTTTTAATGCATAGTTCTTGTCCGCGGCTCAGTCAGTCGTGTTCGTTGTGTTATACACACGTGTCGAGTGAGTCAGACGTCGCGTACTATACCGATGCTCCCTTGTAACAAGTAAATACTACTCTTATCAGGCGGCAGACTGTTATCTGTAATTTATATTCCGTAGTGCAGCCCCAAGTTGTGCTCATTCTCCAAAAACAGGTACACTGCCTTTATGGGTATTTAGTACATATGTAGGTTGTATGTGCTATGTACGTATTGAATCCAGTGATCCCCCAGGATTGAATGACTCAAGTGACAGTGGCTGAACAGTATGGCAGCGGTCGGCCTTTAACTCGAAGGAAATTCTTGTGTCAGCGCGTGCAAACTAGATTGTTTGAAGGATGACTCAGTCGAGCGAATACATTTATAAAGAATGACTCCTTGTCGCGTTACATTTTCGTTTTTTTCGTTCTAACATCGGCCGCGACGTCGAACCAGCCAGCAGAACATTGACATTGACAGACAGGTGGTACTTGTCATTTTCTCCTCGTCTCGTTAGACGTTCACGATGTTCGCGACGTTGAAAAATAAAATACGAGAGGAAATTGGGAATGACGTGTCAGCTGTCGTTAGAAATGCCGGCAACGTGCGCGGTATTAACTCGAGGCATATGTCTCAGGTATGTAAATATAATAATCGTTTCTGTCCATGCGAACGTTATCAAACGTCCGTTTAATGCATACATTCATTTATAGACGCGTGTTGACCATTCACGATTTTTCTATCTTATTATTTACGATGAGGAAGTACCAATTTCGTTCCTAGTTAAATGCCGCTTATTGTTTCTACTTATGTCTGCCAGCCAGTTCATTAATATTAATCACGTGCGTTATCCGACTTTGTATAATCAAATACGAAACCTGTTTGAATACCAATTAGCATGTTAATCTCACTGCAATTGTATATTTATTTCTACGATGTTTCAAGAAGTTTAGGGTGTTAGACTCATCAAGGATTTGCGAAATTTCATTTACTGACAGCTGCTACTTTATTTTTTCAGACTGGATCCACAAGCAGTATCAGTGGGTCTCAGATTTCGTTAGATGGTTCACGTGAGGAAAACGCAGCTTCTCCTTCACCACCTATTTCATTGAGGAAAGACAATAGTTTCGATCTTAAGTTAAATGACGGCATGCAACTTTCTGCCAAGGACATCAAAAGGCTTGAGAGTAGGGAAGACGAATGGCGAAGAAGGCTGGCTAAAAAGGAAGCGGAAATGCTTAAACGAATGGAGAAGAAGGAGGAAGAATGGAAAGTGAGACTGTTTGAAAAGGAGAAAGAGTGGAAAAAGGTGGTTGAGAAACAAGAGAAGGAAAAGAGTAAAGTAGAAGAGGAATTGAAAAATGTGGAAAGCACAAAACTATCGTTGGAATTAGCTCTTAAGGATGCTGAAGGTTTATATTTTATACTGAACAAAAATGACATGATAATATCTATAAAATGAATTTAACATGGAAAGTATATTTTGTTTCAGAGTATAAAAAGAAATTATATAGCTTTCAAGAAGACGCTGAACAACTGGAAGGTTTCCAAACTCAAGAAATGGCAAAGATAAAGCACCTCGTAGGTATTTCATATGTTTTGTGAACAATTTATTACATACCTTTCCTATCTATTCTTTCATTCTGATTAAGCTGCTGGCGAAAGAGCAAGAAGTAGACGAAAAGACACACAATTTGAAAGCAGCGAACGCAGAGATTGAAAGCTTAAAGAGTGAAGTCTCTCGCCTGAGGAGATACGAAGATGAATTGAACAGTGTACAGGTGAGTAAATTATCTGATATTTAATTATCACATGAAATACGCTATGAACTTCATGAAGTTATGTTAACATAATTATATCTCACATAATTGTGTTAATATAAGTTGCTTGATTTACATCGTTTGAGTAAGTAAACATGGAGCATATATACCTTGATTTTTAGTTAAATATATTCACGTGTCTCTCTCATTTTTAAAACTACTTTGTACATCCTTCACGTCATGGTACGATAACATCGACCAATTAAGTTATAAAATAAATGACTACTGCTAATTTATATTTCTTCATACGTATGCATATTGCAATATGTACAAATTTATATTAGTCAAAAATAAATTATTATCAAAGGTATCTTAGGTGATTTCTATTATTCTATTATATAAATTAAGGAAGGGAGTATTAAGAGACTTTTTCTTCCTAGACATTAGTACAATAGCTAGTTCTCAGTTTGTTTTAGACTAGTTAGATTTTTATGTACACATGTCAAGAACGTACGTGTGTAAAAAATTTGTTTATTACAAATATAGTTATAATTTTTAAACAGTAGCTTCAATTATATTCGGTTACAAGTTGATTTACCGTAAAACATATATTTTTAATATGAAATAAATGCATGAAGAGATTGATTCCTTTATATAACATTTTCCTAGAAAATGATTTATGATTATGTAGCGAACGGCCGTTTACGAGGTCATTAATATATTTTTTAGATACAAGCACGCTTTCTTTAAGGATTAGTTTTATTTTTAAGCCTTCTATTTCCACCCTTTTTTTTATTTTATATACAGCTTTTTGTTTTGTCACGATTGGCCATGTTTTTCCTGCACATTATTTTTTTGTATCGACACACAATATCGATGTATGTACGACGAACATATTTAAAGACTTTTATAGTCGCGGGAGTCTCGATTATTATTGTAATATTTTGGATACACGTTGAAACGAAGCAGACGAGCATATGTTCCATAACTCTTACCTGTACTCTAAAAACGTATTCGTGATCGGAACCGTTTATACAGTTAATATTTATCGGTAGTTCGATGTGGAATAGGCATTTCGGTAAAAACTAATTATGAAAGGCAATATTCTTTTATTTGTTATGGAACATGAGCGAAACGTAAAGTGATACTGAAAGTTTTGTGAAAACAACATACGCATGAAGATTGGAAAACTTTGATAAACGAGAGCATTGGAGATCAGAGTAGGCGGTATTTTCCGCTAATTCGCTGCTGCTACCGCTGATGCTAGAGGTACGTCTTCAAAGCTTTGCCGCTATTCTGCAACGTAAATAACTTCTATATAAACTTTACTTACATCAGTGTCGCTCTTTATGTATTTCTCTTCTCGCCGCAGGATTGTATAACATAACGCGAAATGCATGTAACTATTGACCAGTGGGAGTGGTTTAAAAGTGAAAAAACGAGTCTCTTCCTTCTACGATTAAATTTCATTTGAAACGTCTAAATACTGTTTCTACTCCAGTACTCACGCTCCAATGTTGTTACTCTCGTAACAGCCTGGAATCATTTAATACGATGAAAAGATACATCTTCGTATTATTAAATCTTAGTAATCAGTCAAAAAATGAAACAAATTTATTCGACACTATTTCTGCTTCATATACCTTCGTTTTATTTTGTTCACTTTCAGCGTTATTGTCATTTACCATCATATCGCTTATTCTCGGCTTCATAAGGTTTGGATTATTTCCGTTCTGTCCATCTTTATGTATTAGCAATGCTTCGGTAAGGTTTGCAACAGAGCTTCACAGAGCAAGATGTAATGAAACAGGCGCGGAGGCATCGCTGCTAATAACGTCACCATTTCCAGGATGAAATGGAGACGCTGCGGCATTCTACTCAACGCGAGAGAGCTCAGCTGTCCTGTCAACTGGCGCAGACCGAAGAAGAAGTGCGTCACCTGAAGGACAAGGTTTTCCTGTTAGAACAGAGAATCGCTTTAGAGAGCAACGATCAGGTGACCGTGGACGAAAGAATAGCCGACCTAATGAGGGAACGGGCGCTGCTAGAGAGGAAGTTAGAAGAAGCGCACCTTCATCTGTCCGATATAAAGACCAGCTGGTCTGGGAAGATATCCAGCTTGGAAACGCAAGTCGGGAGGCTTAGCAGGCAAGCCGGCGAAGAGGGTTTAGAGAGGAGGCGCGTCGAAGAAGAGAACGAAAGGCTGAAGCAAAGGATCAAGCAGCTAGAGGCTGAAATAGAGGTGAACAATGTTGTCATGGCGACTAAAGATGCCAAGCTTTTGCGCATGGCAGAGGACATCGACGAGATGGCCACGGAACTGAAAGAGCTCCGGGCCAGCGTCGATGATGAGGTGGACGAATTTAAACGGCAAATTGTGAGTTACCGCGATATGTAGTCATGCATGGACCTAGATTGTTCTGAGGGCGATGTCCCTGTTAGATTTTCCAATGCAAAAACGAAAAAGAACATTCCCCGTTTGTTAAATGACAATCTCCGAATGATTACAGTATCGATAGCATTTCCAATTTCCTCCTGACTATTCCCTTCTAACAGAGAATTTTCCCTTTTTAGAATACGTTTTTGTATCGTTTTTATTTTAACGCTCAATACGGGAAATCGATGTTTTGATCTCGAGTAACTGTGATCTTGTAAAAATATGTTTCTTGATTTGCCATACGTTTAAATAGTAACTGTTTTAGTACTTTTACGAGACACTGAATGTTCATGATGTTACACTGTGAGTGTAAAAAGACATTGAAACGCGCATATACGAACGCGTAGGAAAGAGATCGTATGTTGATTTGTAAATGAAAACTACATATCGCCTATATAGATACTTGCATGTTACGAATAAGATGCTTGATGCTTAACGCACAGAACATTTATTTTACGCATACATTTACCAGCACACTCCTTTTTTTCATTTACATTTGTAAGCATGCATAGTTTTACAATGTATATTATTAAGTTTTACTGAACTCGAAGCATAACGTATCAATAGACATGTTTGCCGTACCAGAGGTTCTTGAAAGTCTATGTTTCCACACTACTACTCGTGAACTTGTACATGAACGTTAGGTAGCATAATTGAGTAATGATATTTTTATGTACGATCGCATTTCTGTATATTTTATTTGTGGAATAAAGAAGAGGACCAATAAATATATATTACACCGTTTATTATATTCGTTTCTTCTGCTTGTTTTTATCCCAGTTTTATATCCTCCTTTATCTATCATGCGGCTTTTTATATATATCCACGAATGTGTACACCGTTTCTTTTCTTGCAGGTTTGAACAATGTATCATGTTATCATCACACCACTGACACAGTCCAATTATTTTTACGTTGCTGTAAATACGTATTAGGAATGCGTCTCCGGGTGGATATAATTGAACGAGAACGTGTCGTACAATTACGTAGAATAGATGATAGAACGATTAGTCCAGAAATTTCAAAGTATGAAATTTCTTTATAATAATTAAGTTTACGAATGTTCAATGATTTGTACGTTTTTAATCTGGACACGTTTGAGAAGCAATAATTTCTTTTAAAAAGATTTCTCACTATTGCTCCATGTTAATTTTACTCTCATATTTAAAATATTATTTCTCCGCTGTATTCTTCTTTTCAGTTATTTAAAATATCAATTAATAATGAAGATGTTTCAGCGACTTAAATTTCGAAGACATTAGATATCGCTCACGTTGTTGCGACGTTTATCTTTCTGTCAGGAATCATCTTCAAAGGAGATTGCGCAACTTAAGCAGGATTTGGAGGATGCAACGACGAAACTCTCTTCTGCTACGTCGGAACTTGCTCAAGTTCGGCTGTCTGTGGAAGGAGAACGAACGAGCAATTCTTCCTTGCATTTGGAAGTGGCACGTTTACGGGAAGACCTGGAAACTGAGCGCACGGCGTCGGCGACGTTGAAGGTTTACTTAGAGAAAGAACGGAACGAAAAAGACACTGCGCTCATAAGAAATGCTCAAGTTTCCCAGGATATAGAAATCGTGAAACAGGAGAATCGCCGGCAAGAAATCGAGAACATTGAATTACAAAATAGGATAGATGCCCTGGAGCGAAGTTTAGAAAGCAAGAACAAAGAAGTGGAGCAAGCCGTGGCAACCTTAGAAGAGACGAAACAGAGAACGATGGAATTGGAAGAAGTGGAACAAAATAGAAAGAAGATGGAGAGAAGCGAGAAACAGCTTAAGAGCAGTCTGATGGATCTAGAAGAGCAATTGAACGAGAAGACTAAGGTAATACTTGGTAATACTTGGAAATATGTTACGATGAAGATCTATCATTAAGCGTGAGCATAATTTCAGACGATCAAAGTCTTGCAACAACGATTAGCGGACATGAAGAAGACTCTTCAACGAGAGTTGAGAGTTCCTTCTGCATCGTTAGATAGTGACGCCGAACCATCTGCGGCGATTCTCAAGCCAAGCTCGTCGAAGACGGTCACTGCCAGACAAAATAATACGAGGGAGGAGGATGTTAACTTCAAATATCTTAAACACGTTCTCATAAAGTTCCTAACGAGCAGGGAATATGAGGTAAGTGCTCAACTATTTATGAAGTGTGCTATCGTTTATAAAAGCTTGGAGGTATAGATTCTCGCTACTGCAGTAGAATTTCCTGTGAAACATTTAATAACTTTTTACATGCACCGTATTCATTGGTTTTTCAAGGCTCTTCACTTAACGAGAGCAGTCGCTACTCTGTTGCACTTCTCGCCCGAGGAGGAGCGATTGTTGCAAGAGACGTTAGAATGGAAAATGTCGTGGTTCGGTACCCGGCCTAATCTAGGTTTTGGTCAAACTGCCAAGGCTATACCGCCTAGCTGATAGCTGAAACATATCTCCTTTCCTGTAGGTATATTAAAAGTAGCCACGGATTCGTGGTTGAAGTCGAGAAGTTGGCTCGCGTCGATGATCAATCGGAAATGATCGTGGGTTACCTTTGGAAAGGCACAGGGGGAAACGTTTGTAAGCTAGAGATTTCATAACTTTTGTAATATACTTAGCATTTATAATATGTGTATAATTTATTCGCAAGGGCTACGAACATTGATCATAGGCGAGTATTAAATAAGGGAATATTAGTATCAAATGTTATTTAGATAAATTTCTAAGTCGATTATAACTAGGGAAACTCTGATACTCGTTGCATGCTGTTTAGTTATAAAACGAGTTAGTACAGATCTATACATGTAACGTGTATCGTGCGTTCCTGTCGTATTCAAACGCTAGAGTACACAATCATTTTGCGGTGTTTAATATTTAAAAATTATATACCCGTTTCTGTATACGATTATGCGATGATACCAGCCATTTCATTACTAAATCTAATATTATTTGGCTTTTTTATATAATCAGACTTTCAGCAGAGATAATTTCGTTTTACTTTATGAGTTCATGAATCGAAGTAGTTTTCGAATCATCAGATATCTGATTTTATTTTAGATATTAATATGTACATTAATTTTGCATAAAAAACTATTGTTTCATTGTCCTATTTAAATTACAATTACTCAATGTGAATTATATACTTTTGATTGTGCCATCGTCATATGATGGAAGCAACTTATAATTTTTTAAAATGGAATTTAATATTCTTCAACTATGGCTGCAGGTCGATTGTAAATGTATAATAGTAGGCGAAAAACTTGCCTTGAGTTCGGTGATAACGAAACTAGATCCATTGCCATAAGTATTATTTCTGGTATAAACGTTGTCGTATTCATACTTGTAAATAGTACGAACGATGTTTCTATATGCCTGATTAAAGAACACAAGATCGAACGATTTTTTTATCAAACGGTTCATTTCATTCTTTTATTTGTTGTTAAAAACTTTATCTCTTTGATTGTACTGAGATTTTCTGAATCGTTTTATCGATCATGTCAATGTATCGTTTATTATAAGATATTGAACTTTCGAATTAAAAGATTGTTTGAATAAAAAGGACACTTTAATATTATATGACGTCGAGGAATAAATCAAATTGTTGCACATTACATAAAGTGTAATCATTTATTTACAGCAGCCTATATCAATATCATAATGAATATTAATATTATACAAGTCGACGGTAATTACCTAATAAATAATGAAATCGATAATTTTTATAAAGTGTATTTTCCAGTTACCATCATTAATTTATCATTCAATAATGAATCGTACATCAAAAATCTCGAGAATCATTCAATGACGACGTATTCCGTTATTTCCGAAGGGAATTCGGGTCCGCAATTTTACATTTTTATAAAGTGTATTTTCCAGTTACCATCATTAATTTATCATTCAATAATGAATCGTACATCAAAAATCTCGAGAATCATTCAATGACGACGTATTCCGTTATTTCCGAAGGGAATTCGGGTCCGCAATTTTACGAGCTATACAATTTTCAATTACTAATTTCTAGATCTGTCGAATATTATTAATTATGCATTAATTTTATATACAAAAATATAAGTAGTGTCACCGTTCAAAAATCATCAGACGATTGCCCGAGAAACAATAAATTAACGAAATTTCAAGACGAAGTTCCTCTCTTCCTAAATACGCGTTTTACATTTATAAATCGTTTATACAAATTGTTTATCGTGTTCAAACACTGAAAACTGAAGTACGGTACGTTAAGTACGATTGAATTTATGAAAATGGGAAAAACAATCTAAAATTCTAACGAAATGAGGATTATTAAAAACAATTATTTGCATCATTATCAAGGTTTGCCATTATGCGAACTATATAGCGCACCATTAAAATGTACGTAAATACAGAAAACTGCTAGCTAATAACAAACTATTACTCTTTAAATAGCTGAAAGTGGAAGTGAAACTGTATACTCGGGTAAATGTTAATTAATTTTAACAAACTTATATACATCTATCGTTTGTCAATTATAGAACTAATATAGTAAATTGAGCTTACATTTAATATTATGCTTAATCACAGTGTATATATTCACATTTCTTCCCCTTCGTTTTTAAATCTATCGGCATCTCGATATAAACGCAAGTTACGGGACGAGTGCAAGTCGAAGGAACATACACATCTATTATGTACGCGTACAAAGAACAAATCTGCAAATGATACACGGCATTGTGACAAGTTGTGTATATTTAAACTAAATACTGCAGACACAAGAAATTTACTGTGATTTTCGTTTGGATCTGTTTCCCAAGTAGAATCGGCTGAAAAATTTTCGTGCGCTCCGTAAACAAACCATCTTCGCGCGAGGAAATCATTGTTACGTAAGAATAATTTTATTCGTTGCTATAGTTCTATCTACAATGCCAATCTGTCTTATATTACGGACCGTTCAGTTTGATTAAAAATGTACAGAGTATTTATAAAATATACAGGAACATGTCACCATATTCTCGTCGTTGATGACTCAGGCTGCGGGTCTTTATGCAGAAACAGATTTGTTTCGTTACGCAAAACTGAACGGAGATTTATTCGAACTTCGAACGTTTTGCACATTTATCGATGCATTTCGCGCGGGTCGTGCTCTTCGTGCATTGAAATTTTTTGCGACTGTGTAAAAACCCGCAGCCCACTGATGACAGAAGATGTATAATTTTTATTTCGCAATACGTGACCGCAAGTTGTTTTCTGTTTTTTTTCCTCCCCGTCTTGTTTTCGGACCCCTCGTAAAAATAATTCTTTCCTTTCCATTTTTGTTTCTTTTTGCAAGCCCCAAAGAATTTCCGCTTACGATTCTATATTTTGGTTTCACATGCTTGACATTATATATTATATAAAATCCTATGCGTTGTATCTACAAGGCGCGTGCAGAAAGTCATGTTTATGTTGTAAAAAAAAAGATACATACTCCTCTCTAGCTTGTACATGTTATTTTCAACGGTGTTTAAACGCGATGACTAGAACTTTCTCGAGCCGGAAATGATCTCCTGATAGACCTCGGGCGTGATTTCGATGTACTCTTTGTTACCGGACAGGAAGTACATTTTGTCTTGGATCTTGCTCGGGTCGAAACCCTCTTTCTGAAGATTTATCTTCTTCAATTTGAACGTCCCCGTCATCTCGAGTTCCTTTACGATCCGCAGGAAAATGGGTCTCGCATACGCTGGGAGTGCTTTCTCCAAACCTTCCGCGAGAGCTTTGAAGTCCAGGTGGCTGTCCGGATCGACTATCGCTGCCATTCCTGCTCGTCCTTCCATTCCAGGCACCTTAACAAATATTAACTTAATTTAAATGAAAGTAAAAGTTTATTTCGACAATGAAATATTTCTTTAATCGAAGACTTAACAATGTAAGAATGATATTTTGAAAAGGACGGATATTTATTTCTACGGACCTGAACTCCGTAAACTGTAGCGTTTCTCTGTCCTGCAATATCGCTGATTACGCCCTCGACTTCCGCAGTGGCGACATTTTCCCCTTTCCACCTATACGTATCGCCTACTCTATCTTTGAAATAAATATAACCGTATTCGTCCTCTACTAAAATGTCACCTAGAAAAGGAATGAAGAAGGTAAAAATCACATCAAAATCTCCGCACACTTCTGATGACTTGGTTGAATCTCATGTTAATAATTCGTTAGCTCCACTCGCGACTCACCTGTGACGAAAGCCTTATCACCTTTGGCAAACACGTTCTCTATTATTTTTCTTTTCGACGCTTCTTCGTCTAGATATCCATTGAACTCCCTTGACGCACTACCTTCTTTTATTAATCCTATGAACATACCCGGCTCATCTGCATGAAAATAAACGTTCTTATAGAAAACTGTTTCCTTTCATATAATTGTAAAAGATAAAGAGCTCTTTTTCGAGTCTTTTGCGTATATGTTAATGTGATTTCTTACTTGTTTCTGCACGTATGCATAAACCATTCGAGCCTCTGACAGGCTCGTACGTCTCGTTATTCACTCGAATAATTGCTAAAGGATGGAACATCCTTGGTACAATCAGCGGCATGAAGCCTATGGCTCCAGGCTGACCGTCCAAATTAGCTGTGACGTAAATTAAATCATTTATTCGTATTATTATTTTACGAAGAATCTCTGATTTTCCTTAAGTATTTTTTTGTATGCACAATATACATCATCGTTGCAAATATCTTACCAATATTAGCGTTCCCTTCGCTAGACCCGTAAACCTCGGCGACTCGTTTAATATTAAATCGGTTAACGAAGTCATTCCAAATCTGCGGCCTCATACCGTTTCCAAACATGAGCCTCAGACGATGTGCACTGTCTTCCGACTTCGGCGGTGCATTCAGCAAGTAACGGCACATCTCACCGATGTATTGCGCGACCTGATAAATAAAATTACGCTTAGATAAAATAATGCCAACTGCACAAACGCCTAAATCTTTTCTGCCTTATTTAAGTATTAATGAAAATAATTTCCTTGTCGAACCGAGAGAAAAATTATGCTAAGCAATGAGGTCGGTAAAATTGGCGTAAAAATGTGAACTTACGGTACATTTATATTTGATGCAATCCGACCAATAAGCCGATACTGAAAATTTACTTCTTAGGACAACGGGCACGCCTTTCAGAATCGCGAAGCTTACTCCTACCATTCCACCGGCTGTGTGATACAACGGGTTCGGGTTGTACAAAATGTCCCTCGATCTTATGCCCAGCAATCTGAAGGGCATGATCATTAGCAGGTATCTGTAACATATAAATAATACCGTGATCCCTATCTGTGTTGTGAAATAACGATCGTTTCAAATATTTTATACTAGCTTAAGTTAATTTAATGCGATAACGTGTCATTAGTTTGTTTTCTTTGTTACCGGGTACAAAAGTCCCATCGTTATCGAAGCTACATACGTACATCGATTAGATTTCTGATAAGGTCAAAGTTCGAGAGCTTTATTAAATTCCTTATACGTTGGTTCTTCATGTAAAAAATAAATAAATTGTGCCTCGAAGTAGAATCATGCATAAGCTAATAAAAATAATTTGTATCGTTATAGTTATATAATTTTAGTTATGGTAAAGCATGAATAGCGTTTTCTACCTTATTATATAGAAATGGAAGTTTGTAAAATTTATGTTGATTTGTCCAGGTTTTGTAATGCGTTATGTAAAAAATAATTGATAACAAAAATCAGAAAGGAGACTGGCACAGACAGGAGTTACGGCGTTTTATTAGTAAAACAGTCATAATGCAAGCAGACAGGAAGCAGTCTCGGGGTAAAGCAACTACATTTACATGTAATCTCATTCTCGACGAGTCGTAAGGCTTTCCTGAGAGGATTATAGATCATTTATACGTTCAGCAGGTAGATAATTCATTCTGTTCACGGTGCTATGGACGAAAATAAATGGAAGTTTATAAACCCTGCATGGAAACGTTAATCACCGTAACCGAACGGGCATTCATTATTTTTATACGTTCGATAATTACGGCACTAGAAAACTCGGGGCACACATTGTAACTTCCATAAACTTAAACTTCTTGTAAAAAAGAAACATTTCTCGATTGGTTTTAGTCTAATACAAAATATTCAATAAGTATGTTTACCATACGCGTAAAGCAAAAAGAATATGGATTATTCTTGGGGTAAAATCTTCCATTCAAAATTATTTTCCGTTACTAATTATTTTTTTTCTTCATTTGGTCAAGGGATTTTTGATCGCAATTACGATATTTATTCAACTTATAAACGAATCGCTAAATTATCGATTTAGCTCAATGCATTGTACCTAGAGGAACGTTTTAATCTGTCGTTCAAGACTGACCTAGATACCGAGGTCGATATTTCTACATAATAAATTAACTTTTGCGTTAAAGATTATACTAAACCTTTCGGTCATAGCATTTAACGATACCTTGTGCACCTTGAACACAGTATCGATGGTATAAGTTCACTGTGAATAAAGTGAACCACGTTTAAAGTAAGTTTGCATAGCTATTAATCAACGCAAAATTCATATTCTAATATATTCATGGATATCTCGTTGCTCTATGCACTACTGCAAACCGTGAAATGGAAAATGCGCAGCTTTGAAGAATACTGTATTCAAGAATTTTCTTACCTCGAATTGAGAACAATGGCTACTTTTGGCAAACCAGTCGTACCGCTTGTGTAAATATACAGCAGTTTATCTTTGTAGTTAGGAGCATTCTTAATTATCGGTTCATCTTTACTGGCTTTCGACATAAGCTTGTTCAAGTCGTGCACACCATCCTCGCAGGTCTCAGACTTGTAACATATTTTGTATTTCCCGATTCCTTGAATCGAATCCTTGATGTCATCAAGGGCTGAGAAAAAAATATTTCATTTGACAACGCGTATGATTTCGCGCGACCATCACTGCCTTCAATGCAAAGTTTTCTTTTGAATTCTACGATAAATATAAATATTAAAAGAATCGATTAAATTCCTTTTCAAGTATGTTAAGATTAAGAATTTTCCATTGTCAAAGATAACCGAGTGAAATATTAGCTGGCGTCAAAAAAATAAATTCTCTTTGAATATTATCTACTTGCTGAGTAAAAAACACTTTGCATTAATGAATCGGTCTTACAATAACGTATCTTATCATCCGTTACCCCGGTTTTGATCCATTTTCTTATCTTCTAAATTATGACATAGTAATTACTATATATCGGGTGTCATATTTACCAGACGAATATTCTTCCACATAAATGATACTTTTCACATCGGCGATACGAAGGCAATGAATCAAAGATTGTAGACGTAAATTAGTGTTAATCAGGGCCGTTACGACACCGAGTTTCCCCAGACCGAGCCAGATCGCGACGTACTCTGGCCTATTCGGCATCATCAATGCCACGGCGTCGCCCTTTACGTATCCCGCTTTTTGAAACACGTCCGCTATCTGGTTGCTATATTCGTTAATCTGTAATTTTCAATTCCGTTAATCTCTTCCCGGCGATCCTTATCCGTGATTGAGATATCCAACCGCCTCGATCCATTTCCAAATTTTAGATATTATAAAGAAATACAATTATAGCAATCTCGACAATTATCTTTCTAAAAGCTTAGTTCGAATAAAAAATAATAAAATCTCAAGTGTTGTCGAGTAAATTTTTCTCTCATACTATTCTGTCTCGTTTCAACTACTGTCTCTTTTAGTTATTCTCATCCAAACCGTTACGTTAACTACTGTTATACGTACTTCGGCGAAAGTCCAAACTCGATCCTCGAAGAAGAAGCAAGGCTTATTAGGATAACGCTCCACCCTTTTCTTAAACACCTTCACGACCGTCATATTGTTACGATGCTGTCCCTTTACTTCTATTTCTGCGCTGATCGAACGATACAGCAATCTGTAAAATAAACATTTAATCAATTTAACACTGGAGAAGAGATGAAGGTACATTAATAGCATCGGAGTAATGACAAAAAGTGATATTGATTACTACGGAATAAAACACTTCGAGAGCTCTGTGCTAATTATAATTTTATTTCTAATTATACACGTTCACGGTACAAATAATTGATTTTTAAAAAAGTGTCTTCTAAAGGAATGTAAGAAAGTGAATCAAGGTTCACGTGAGTAATCTCGATGATAGCAAAATTTCGTAAATAGATAAGAATGATAAATAAGTGAGCACGAAGGTACGAAGTACAAAACTTGCGCACAGCAAACCGAACTTGTAAATAAATTCCACATAAATATATGAAGATAATTATATATATAGAAACAATTTGAGGAAGCAAACATGATGATTACATGTTTTTGATTTATTTTTAAACAAATCGACTAAGTAATACAGATCTGCGACTTTATTGTGTACTTGACGATAAATTATTATCAGTTTATTTTATTACGAAAATATTCAAAACATATTTTGCGTTATTGTCGAATTGATGCATTGATATTAATAAAACAGTCTGATAAAGACTCCTCAATTGATTGTTAAAAAACAAACCGAAGCTGCGGTTTTCTAGATTCATTCCTTAAAGATAAACCAACTGATCTACGCGGTCGCTCAGATAATATTCGATTATATCATCGAGAAAATTTGTATAAACTGCGAGAAATGCGTTTTACGTCTACAGAATGAAACCGAGATAACGTATCGCAGTTTTTTTACAATCGTCCTTCTATACAGACATGTAAATGCGATTGCAAAGTGATTTCAATTCGCAAAACTGTTGGTTTTAAGGGAAGTAGATATATTTGGAAAAAATTGACTTCAAATTTTTCTCAGTCCTCTTAAGCTGCCAGACTCGAACTGAACTAAACTGAATCTCATGCTCGAGAGATTCTTCTCTCTATAGCCGTTATCACCATTTTGCCTATGGCATGAGAATACATGCCTGTAAGATTCATTCTCCAAAAAATGATCTCATAGGGTTGTACTTCCTCTGTAAGTTTAGGATACCTTATACCCAAATTTCCTGAGGATACGATAGGGAAAATTTATAAAAAAATCATCATTGATTTTTGTATATATATCTACAAAAACTCCTTGAATGTTTCATCTAAGTGAATATGAAGTACCTCGTACTCTGATTAAATTTCTTGGCTCTGGACAGGTACAAATTTTGCATATAGAGTATTTGCCCTGACACGTCAGTATTTTTAAAACGCGAAGCGATGGGACAGTGAAATCTTGATGAATTCTTTGGGAAAAAGCACGTATTAATGGATGAGTACGATGATCGTACTTTGTACAGTTCCGAAACAGATAGAAAATGAAGCGTGCGTCAACGCAGTATATCGTGTAGAAATAAAAGTAAAGATAAAATCACGGTACAAAGTACAAAGCAGGACAAAGAACGCACGCCTCGTAGAAGGATATTGTGCAGACGACACGTGTATATTAATTGCAGTTCTCCAACAACGAAAGTGAAAAGTTCATCATGAATGAAGTAACATCGAGTAATCATAATAAATGAATATTCTTCGCTAAAAATGTCACAATTAGTTTGTAACTCGTTTTAAAGCACGACGATGGAGTGGAACGACAATTCTTACAAATATAGTGGGAATCTAACATGTATGACTACTACTGATATTAGCATGTCGTCCGATTCAAGCTAAATTCATGCGTATCGAACTTGTAAATATATTCAGATTAATGAATACAAGGAACTGTTCCATGGCCAGTTCGCTCCTCTCCTCGTTCTGCATTTAATCTTTAAATATTCTCACAAATATATCTACCCAATCTAGCGCGTTAACCTTTGCATTCTGCAATCGGAGTTCGTTTAAACATTGATTGTAACGGCACCGGCCCCCTTGCACCAGATAAAGACATTTTGCGTTCCGTTCTATTTCTACTACGGCCGCCACTCTTATCATTTCGCTCTGTTTATTTCGCGACGCGTTCGTCGCTTTTGCGGCATGAACGAGCAGATACGGGGGCATTTACCAAAACGGGCGTTTCTTTCTCCCGTAACGGCCCTTCTGAACAACGAGCGTAGCCCTGAGCGGGTCAGTGACCGGCACCGCAATCTAAGAAACGCACATGTTACACGGCTGCAACTCGGTGCCGCGAATAAAAGTGAAACATTGACAAAATAATTGGCGTATACGCATAATTGGCCATGTATCGAACTCTACCGGGATAAAGATTGATAATACGCAATGCGCGTACGTGAAAGTTGTATTATTTAGGTCAAACGGATGAGGATCGAGTTTTTTTTTTACGACTGGTCCGATGAGTCCCTTATTAGCGAATTCTTTGGTTAGAAATGCATTCAGTTAACCCGCGGCGAGTGCAGTCACTTTCATACATGTATATTTGAAGTCGTTAATGTAGGCAAGGCATAAAATCGCAAATGTACAAAACATTCATTTAGTTTTATAATATCTTCTTAAGGATGTATTGACTATACAATCAATCCCAAAAGTTTATGCACTTTAGAAACGCATTTTTTAAAAAGAAATCAGACGTCGGAAAAACATCGCTAACAATAAACAACAAAAAAAAATTTTCGATTTTTCCGAGATTTTTCCAAGGGGTACCCCTTCAATTTCTTCCAAATTTTCGTTTTTAGTCAATAACTCCCAAACCGTTGGACATACAGAAAAATTGTATAAGACCTTTCTTGTAGAGGACGACGAGATCTACAATTTCCATGTAAATTTTTTTCGCTAGTGTCAGTATTTAACGAGTAATTTGCAAAAAACTGTTTTTTAGTTTTTCGTCAATAACTCGTTAAATATTAATGCTAGCAAAGAATTTTTACATGGAAATTGTAGATCTCGTCGTCCTCTACAAGAAAGGTCATATGCAATTTTCCCGTAGATTCAACGGTTTAGGAGTAATTAAGGAAAAACGAAATTTTTTGCCAAAAGTTCGCCGTTTCGACGCTGGGATGGTCAGATTTTGTCAACATCAATAAAATGCCATATAATCATACGTAACTCGTTAAATATCGAAATTAGAACGAAAACAACTTGTATTTCAAGCATTTCTCGCAATTTCGAAAAGAAAAAATTTTCGTCAGCGTCAATACTTAATTGGATATTTCCTTCTATACTTTTTAGCACGTAGCTATTTATTATTAGCATTATTCTTCCGACGTCTGATTTCTTTTTAATTATAGGAAATGCGTTTTTCTAAGGTACATAAACTTTTCGGATTGACTGTATAGCCAATACATTCTTAAATCTGAATGAGAGACGCTGAAAAGTACATCTTATCGTTGCAGAAAATTATCTAGTCATTCTCGTATCTAATAGAG